TATCACTGTTTGTTTTCCCATCCCTTATCACAACTGGTGACTCAATTTCAAAATATTTTCCAAAAACCTTTAAAATTAACCTCAAATTTTAATGTTAAACATAACAAGTATGTATCACAAATAAGTTAGTTATATATATTAGGAATACTTATTTTTTAAACCACACAACCACTCAAATATTTCTTAACATATCAAATAAGCTTACTGTTATTCTGCTTTGACCAATGTTTCTTGGAAACAGAAGGAAAAACCCAGAAAAGAAAAGCACATTACTTGTGACCTAGAGTTGACGCTAGGTATGAGATAACGTGAGATCCTGTATAATTTTAATAACAAAAAAATCATCATCAGTTTTCTTCCCTAGTACAAACAAATAAACATCTAACCACAAAAAATACTGAAGAGGAGGCAGTCCTCATATGGGAAGCTGTGCACAGCTAAGGATTAAACCTCCAATATCTAAGCACAACAGGGGGGCCATCTTAATGTTAACCTTCTATGATTATTTTTCCTGCATTCTGGAGGCTAAATTCCTAACTGAATTGGCATGCTTTTCAGTATTTGTTTCACAATTTCAACATTCTTTTTAAAGTGATTTTCTTCACGCCCAGTGGTAGCACTTCCCTATGATAAGAATGAATTTTGGTATTAGTTTTACTGAGAATTTGAGACATTGTCATTTTATCATGCTGTTGCATAGCAAGTGTCTGCATTTCCAGTCAGTTTCTACAAACACTTTTTTCTTTGAAGTAGTTTTGGTGATAAAGTGGTTTTATCATTTTTTAGAAAGTTTTTATTTATGTGTAGTAAAAAACAAATTGTGGGAAAGGCTTTACATTCTCTAGCATTTGAGCACAATTTACATTTTCTACTCACTTCAGGGATTTTAGCAGAAATAGCTGCCCAGAGAAATAAAAGTCATCCGCTATATTAGAGGGCCAACATTTTAAAGTACCAAGTTATGCATGTTTATATCAGTGAGGCTTATCAAGGACTTTTGTGATTTTCATCAATGAAGTAAAAGGAAATTCAAATGTAGTCTTTTGGTTTGGAGTTGAAACACTGAGGATGGTAGTAGAATGATAACAAAATTCAAGATCATAGGTTATGAGTGACTAAAATAAAAAATAATCCTCTGAAATTACTTATG